AGGGTCATTGGGGGTCGGCAGATTCGAGTGGAGGACAGGAAGAACCTACCATACACAGATGCTGTGATCCATGAGATACAGAGGATGGGCAACATAGTTCCTTTGAATATCCCACATGTCACAACCTGTGACGTGGTCTTCCAGGGATACCACATCAGGAAGGTAAGCTCAGTTTTTGCTTTTTCATGGGGCAGTTTTCACCTTGACTTTGAATACTTCTGTCTAGTGCTGGTTCCAAAATTGTGGAGATAAACTAACATAACTGGTCACCTGAAATAATAGAAAATACTGACGCCCAGAAAGGCTCCTGCAAAAGGCAGTCACAGAAGCGAAACATATAACATATAACAACAGAAAGATCACTTTGAGGAGCTACTTAACCCGGGATTGTGCTCCCAATTGGAGGCAGTGCAGGAAACTTGGGGTTTATCTGTCAGTCTTTGTCCCCACGCATCCTTATGTGTGGTTTTGAGCTGTGGGTAATGATCGAAAGAACAAGGTTGGGAGTTCAAGTGGATGAAATGACATCTTACTAACATGGAGTGTAGCTTGAAGATCTGGAGGTTTACATCAAAGGGTTAATATCTACCAGCTGACTTGGGAACATCTTGGGATCCTGCAGAACATAATAGAATCCATGGCTTGTCTGGTCTGACCTGCTCAGCATGCTGCTACCACAACCCTGACCAGGAAACGAGATGGGAAGATGATTGTGGTGGCAACGTGTGTTTAGGTGCACATGTCTATGTTTCCTGCAGGGAACTGCTGTCATTCCATTGCTGACATCTGTACTAAGAGATGAGAGTGAATGGGAGAGTCCCAATACCTTCAACCCCGGCCACTTCCTGGATGATCAGGGTCGGTTCAAGAAGAGGGATGCCTTCATGCCCTTCTCTGCAGGTACAGTGCAGGTTGTGCTTTGGTACAAGCTCTGTTCAGTTCTTTTGTTAGCTGCCTGAAAACAAACTCATTGTTGTCCCTCACGTATCTTTCAAAATATTGTCACATCTATTCTCCAGGACGCAGAGTATGCCTTGGAGAGAGTCTGGCCAGGATGGAGATCTTCCTCTTCTTCACCTCGCTCCTGCTGAAGTTCAGGTTCACTCCACCTCCTAGGTTGTCTGAATCTGATCTGGACCTCACTCCAGCTGTTGGGTTGGTCTCCAACCCACCTTCACATAAATTGTGTGCTCTAAGCCGGGTTTGAAGCTCCTGAACTCTGAAGGTTTTTATGGAGCTGAACTGTATGATGTCATCTTTCACATGGCTTGAATAATCAATAACAATATCTAGCTGAGCTTTTTCAATATGAAGACATTCTCGTAACTCGGGTCATTTTGACTTGGACAGGGCCGATACCACATTACTAACTGCCACATGTGACATGTGACATAACACCAAGGACCTGCAAGCTTGCTCTATGCATTCTTCCACAGTTCCCAGACTACCCAACAGCCATGGACACTTCTCTCCCTGTCCCTGCAAACCGGCAGCTGTGCTGCAGCCCTCCCCAGCCCAGAGCATATCACTGATGGCCTGTAGCAACACATTCAGTTATAACGCGCGGCTGTTCATCCACCCTCCTCTCCTCCTGACCAGCTCCTCTTTTCGGTTGAGTCACTTGATTGCAGATTCCTGGCAAGGCTGTTGATATCCTCTCCCAAACCAAATACATAAAACGCTATGGCTCCAGTATAACAACACTCCACAGCTGTGTTGTTCCTGCCAACTATGACAAAGTAGTAATGTGGTATAATTATCATACAACTACATCACTCCCATCACAATGGTAAATCTAGCCTAGTCATTACACAAGCACTCATAGTAAACAGGTACATCACTGTTTCAAACCATAAGTCTGCCTTCAAACACCACATATGCTGGAACCCAGAAATATACACCATTAAAATGATCATATGGCAATTGTGAGATGAGAAGAAACAGCGGATGTGTCTGAATTCAGGTGCTGCACTCTTCAAAGGACGCGGTCTATGAAGGAGTAGCCTTTGTAGGCTGCGGTCATCAAAGGTCAAACAGAAAGGGCTGTCAAATGGGACTGTCTGGCCGACGGATCATTTCCTGTTTGCGTCGCCAGCTGTTCCCGCCCTTATCCTTGAATCAGGAAGCGTCGCTCCCATTGCTTGCCTTCTATACCTTTACGCATTTCTAGACCGCATTTGAAGGAGCCTCGTCACACCGCTGTGATGCAGCCCCTGAATTTGGACATAGCTAGTGACACCACTGCAATGGATTATATTCCCAGATTGCAGTTGATTCCGGGCTGGATCTGTCTCCAGTCGGCATAATTTTTTATATTTATATCTGGGGGCTTGATCTCCTGGTTAGAAATTCAGTCCCACTCCAGCCCTGACTACTTTGCTCCTTTTACTTCACTTGCTCCAAGTCAGAGATTTAATTCAGGATGTCAGTCAAAACAATGAACCTCTTTTTTGAAACTCTCACAGATTTTCAGCTTCACAGGTTATGATTAAAAGAAATATTATCATATGACATTTAGTATTAAACATTGCAGACTGAACCATTTGCCCTTGAATAGAAAAGTATTCGCTTAGGTACATCTTAGCACTGAAACACCTTTTTAAGATGTATATTTGTACCATGTCGACACCATATAAAAATGTATGTCTACATGGGTTGTTTTGAAAGCCTATTTTTATGCCACCTAAATATAGGCATTTTTACCATGTCTTGAGGGTAAAACTTACTATTCGGAGGTGTATAGAGGAGAAAAGAATGGTGTGTTGAGACGTATTCTGTTTCACAGTTTACACCCCACTGGCATTCCGTAGCTTTTCACCATGAGGAATCACAACTGTGAACTTCAGCCACCTCAGGAGGCCGGCCCTCTGCACAAAAGGCTTCCCCTGGGTCCACCTCAGGAGGCCGGCCCTCTGCACAAAAGGCTTCCCCTGGGTCCACCTCAGGAGGCCGGCCCTCTGCACAAAAGGCTTCCCTCCTGGGTCCACCTCAGGAGGCCGGCCCTCTGCACAAAAGGCTTCCCTCC